CTAGTAACTGTCCTCCTTTCCTAAGTTTGGGGTCTCCAAGGGCAGAAGCCAAAGTTGGGGCCCCAGCTGCAGGGTGGGGGCACACAGAAAGGTTTATTAAATCAAGTGGATGGGCCCCTCCCCTCCCCCACCAGAGCATGCGGATGCTGTGGTATGAAACTCCAGCGCCCTTTCCTGAGCCCCAACATCCTACCGACACCCCAAGGTCAAGAAAAGAGCGTTGGGATGGGTACTCACTCAGGCCCTCCCCTCCCCCTCGAGACGGACTGGAGGAAAGGTCGGGTGGGATTAGATAACCCGCAAATTAACGGGACCCCAGCTCCGTCTGCCCAGTAAGCGTAGGCCAGAGGTGCGACCCAGCTGCGTGTGGCTGTCGCCAGGCCAGGACCTCACCGGGGCTGGCACCTGGGTCTCAAGTCTGGAGAGCAGCGCTGTCGGCGGCGCCGTCCTGGGCCCGTCCTTCAGATCACAGCCAGGACAATTCAGGGCGTGGAAGCGGCCAGCTCGGGCTGCGCACTGCCAGCGCCCGGCCCCGGGCTTCGCTCGAGCCAGGAGACGCCACAGGGCCGCGGGGCCTCCGCGATCCACCCGGGTGCCGGTGGCTCCACGCGCCCCACTTCCTTCAGGACAGCTCTGGGAGTGAAATATAAGTATTTACAGTTTTCATCATCAAAGGAGCCTACCTTCCGGGCAGCTGAGGCCGCCAGGAGTTAGGGCGTCGCGCGGTGCGGGGGCGCCCCCGCCTCGCCTCGGCCCTCCCGAGTGGGCGCGGGACCCGGGTTTCGTTGCGGCGGGGCAGCCTGGGGCCTGGCGTGGCCCAGCGGGATCTGGCTGGGGGCTTTCTGGAGGCTCTGCCCCGCCGCCCGCTTGCTTTCACTCCCTCCCTGCGGCCGCAGGCAGCACCCTGTCCTTCCTGCCTCAGTTTCCCACATTGCAAACCGCACTACAAACCTGCAGTTCTTTCCTGAGCGCACGATGAGGAGAGACGACCTCAAAGACCGGAGAGAGGAAGGGTCGGTGGCCACGGCAGGGGCGGGTTCTTATCCCCAGCCCCATTTCCTAATCTGTACCGGACAGGCCTTGCGACAGGGAGCCACAGCAGCTGGAGGGGGCGACCGCGGGCTGGCGGGTTCGGGTCTACTCAGGCTTTTCCTCTCAGTTCGGTGCCCTCCGGTCCCCCAGCCTGAGCGCATCGCTTTCTGGAAGGGAAACTGAGGCGCAGGCAGGGTGGTGCTCCCCAAGCCTGCCCCAGCTCCGAGAGGCGGCGACAGGGAGTGAAATTTCCTCCTCTAATCGCGTCCCTCGAACTCCGGAGAGGACCGACCCGGACGCGGGGGCCCCAGGGCTGCTCAGCCCCGCTGCCCGGCTCAAACAAGCGCGTTGTTTGCGGAGGGCGCGGCGGGTGGCGCGGCCCAAGAGCGATGAGGATTCGATGGAGCCGCGGCCGCGGCGGGGGCGACAGAGCCGGGCAGGCGCAGGCATCGATCGCGCGCAGCTGTCGCCGAGGAGCCGAGGAACCTCGCCCGCGGCCCGGGCGCCCCCGACCACCAGGGGCGAAACCCCAACGTCGAAAAGTCCGGGGTGCGGTTTTTGGGACGTCCGGGGGCCCAGCGCCTAAGATTGGATTTTTGGGGCGCCTCGCAACCCGCTGGGGACCCCCAGCACAGAGAGGCCGCTGCCCTCCCCAACCATCTGCGGCCTCGACCTCTCCCGAACGAAGGCGGCGGGAGGCTGGGCCTGTCTGGGGCAAGCTGGAATTAAAGGCTGGGATCAGAGGCACCACCGTTTGGGGGGCCGGGGGAGGAGCCGGTGCGGGTGCGGGGCTGGAGGGGGCACGACCGCCATCATTTATTAAAACCTCACTCTAATAAAAAAGGGAGACATGCCCACCGTCGCTGGTTAAGTTTTACATCCGTGCGAAACATGTAATCCGGGGATCTGCTGCGGACAGCTAGGCGGGGAGGAGGTCCCAGAAAGGAAAACTTTGGGCAACTAACCCTTCACAATTTGTAGCTGTTCTTGAGACCCGGAAAGGCAGGTGGCTACGAAGGTGGTGCACAGAGCACACCGATTAAGGGAATTTTGAGTTTGGTGAGGGGCGTGGAGATGAAGCGACAGACTGCTGAACCCCAGGGCAAGAGGAGAGGGAGCCCCAACATTTCTTCCATTTTAGTAGAATGACTCTGAGCCCTCGGCTTAGTGAGGCCCAGAGACTGTGCTTCTACAATTTTCCCAGCCCTGGGATGGGCACAGAGATGAGAGGCAGCTACCCAGGGCAGCCCAGCTCACCGTGAAACACCTCTAGGCTATCAGCAGGCTTTGGAGGGAATCTCCAATTTTCCTAGAGGGGGGCACTGAGCCCAGAGTTCCTGGGAGGTGGTAAGGGCCCCACAAGGAACTGGGCTCCTATCCAGCCCAACCCTCCCCCACTCGCAATTTGCCTAATGACCCAAGATCGATCGGACCCCACCCCCCTGCCTGCCCCACCGGCTCAATTCTATTTTACTAATTACTAAAAGGCCGCTGGTGGGGGACGCTGGCTTTGGGTCTCCACGGGGCCACACTCCCTCTCAGGGGGCCGCAAATTTTTGCTTCTTTTCCCAGTGGGACCAAGAATGAGATCTCCGTTCCTGGAGGAATCAGAATCCCCCCTTAAGGGCTCCAGGGATGGATTGCTGCTCACACCTGGGGAAGGTCTATCCAGGGGCTGGGAGGCCCCTGCCAAGCCCGTCTTGAGTGCCCTGGTGCAGCAGAGCAGAGGGACCCCATCGGACAGCCATCAAGCCACCTCTTTCCCTTCAAAATGGATCCTTTCCCTATCTGAGAAGCCTCAGTGGCAGAGCTGTAGGAAACAATACAAAGGAGGAAATGCTCCCTGTCCCAAACCCACTTCCCTGCTCTGCTCCCCTCTGGAGAACTTCTTTCTGCTTTTGTTTCTTCACATCCCCTGCCCCCAACCCCTGCTCTCCACTGCCGTGCTGCCTTTGCTTCCCAGAGCGCAGGATGCTATCATTTTTATGGCGGCTGATTGATTTTTAGACCCCACAATTCTTTTTAATTATCTGTGATTGTTGCAGGATAAGGATTGGGGAGATCAGAGTGGGGTTTGGCATAGAATCAGAATCCCCACGGGGAGAGCTAAACTCCCTTCTGGCCTGACCCTTGCCCCTACCTTGGTCTTCCCACCTGGAAGATGGGTGTGACTGTTTATAAAACCAGATTGTTCCCCAAGCCTGGAATGGAAAAGTCCAAGGACCGGAGCCTCAACAGGTGGGTGGTGTTGACCCTTGGACAGAACCATAGGACCAGGAGGAGAAGGACCTGGGGGTCTTCACTGATGCCACCTTTTCTAGGGCCTGAGCCACAGTAAGAATCAGGGTGCAAGCAATAGGCACTTGCTAAATGCTGAGTCCTAAGCACCAACAGGGGACCCCTTTTTTCCCTACCCAATCTGATGACTTGGCTCAGGTTGACCCCACTCAATGAATCCTCCCCCCAAGATCAGGGTCCCAATTGACCGCTCCCCCCAACTCCCAACTCCTAGCAATCAGAGATCTCTACTTCC